TTGATAACAATGGAAAGGTAGCGAAGAAAATGTCAGGACAAAGTACATATCTACGAACTCTGCCAAGCGACTGAGATTGAAATGTGTTATTTTTAAACACATCCGAGAACTGAAATTAAGCACAGGTGCATTTAACATTCCGTGCTGCGTTATGTACGTGTCACCCAAGAGCAGAATCTTGAAGAGGAACAAGTGGGCCAAACCCCTTGTAAAAACCCTTCACATTTCAGATGTGATTGCCGAAAGCCTGTAGAAAGTTATCATCATTACCTTGATTATGCCCCTATGCGCACTCAAGAATGTCACTGCCTTTGTTGTTGTTGTGGTTGGTTTGGTAATGTGGGTGCATCATAAGTTTTTTTTTTCTTCTTCTCAGGGGCGTGTGTGTGTGCTTACCTTTTTTGGGGGGGGGCCTCCATCAGTATTTCCGATATTACCATCCATGTGGTCCACTGAATGTATAGGCAACATTACCCACTTCTGTCTTTTACACATGCAGGAAACCACAGACGCTTTCAGGGAACCAAGGAGATGTCTGAAAAGGACTTTGCCAATCACTTAGCATTTAAATGTTCCGTTTGGGAAAATCTGACTGTGTTCAAAGAAGCCAGTTGTATCAAATACCATAAGAACACGGGAATGCTGTTGACTGAATCATATCTCATCTTGAGTTGTACCCTTTCTCCAAATTACAGGGCTTGTCTATGTTACTGAATTTAGTTGTTGCTAGGTTGCTCGATCTCCATTTATTCCCTATACATTCTGCAGCCCCAGATCACAGAAGGTGCTGTTACTGAGATCTGTGACTTGTGGCACCATCCTAAGCAATGTCACACCCTTCTAAGCCCGTTGACTTGATTTAGAAAGGTGTAACCCTGTTTAGGATTGCACTGCTACAGTGCAGTCCTAAGCAAGTCTGCTCAGAGGCAATTGCCATTTTATTCAATGAGGTTGAGTCCCAGGGAAGTGTTTTCAGGACTGCAGCCTTTCATGGCTCCATGTGTTAAATGTCACTGTTTTTTGTTTTTTTTAATTACTGCTGCTTGTTGGCCAGGTTTGCTTTAAAAAACAAATAGTTTTACCACTTTTATGTGGTTTGTATGCCTGCTGCTTTTTGTCCTTTGATTGCACTTTTGGTAATATATTGGCTCATGCTGTGCAGCTGTATCAGGTAAATGAAATGTTAAATTTGGAATTTCTCATGTCGGAAGAAAGGGAGTAATCCCCAAGCAGCATAATTCAGGTTTCCTTGAAGACATCCGACACCACCCATGACCAGTGTTCCTTCTAAGCTGGGTTAGGGTGAGCTAGCTCACAGTTTTTTAGCCTCCGGCTCACACATTTGTGTCTTAGCTCAGGAAGGATGGCTCCAGAGCAAACGAATTTATGCAGTAGCCAAATCGCTTGCTCACAGCTTTAATGCCAGTAGCTCACAAAGGAGAATTTTTGCTCACAAGACTCCACAGCTTAGAGGGAACATTGCCCATGACCACTCTGGCGTTCCAATGGAGGAATGGAGATGATGCATTTTTGTCATTTCTTCCAAAGGATCCGCATGCCACAAAGGCCTGGGAAATGGCTACAACAGCCTTTTGGTTCTGAGGCCACCAGAAGACCAAAGAGCCGGATTACACCCTGGTTTCCCGTGACTCTGTGTCACACAGTTGATTTTGTGTTTGGGGGAATTAATCACTGTGCAGTGGGAAACGGCTTAGACAGGAGCCCTTTTCAGGGAGTCGGTTTCTGGCACCCTTGTCCCATGTCCCAGGGGAAGAACACTATGTTCGATCACTCAGTGTATGTGACTGGCATTTTGTTTGAAAAGGGCCACAGGCATATTTTGAAACTTCAGTATTTTCTCAGATTGTTTGTGGATGTTTCCAGCCACTGACCAGTAATTTCAGTTCCGCCCTTCAGGGAGGCGGTAACTTGTTCTACTTGGTTTTCTTAAAACAATCAGACTAATGATTTGTTTTCCCCACTCCACCATTTCCCTCATTTTCAGTGGACTGAGGGGGGTGGGGAGAAGGAAACTTCCACTCCACTGACAGAAATGCCTTCTGTTAAAGGTAAAAGGAGTCCTGCTCCAACTCACTGTCTACAGGAATCACAGACAACTAGTTATTGTCCTACTGGGTATACTAGAATTTGCTGTCGAACCGTAGACTCACATGTGAGTGACCTGCGAGTTTACAGGATGATTGCAGCTAAATGAAATCAAAAACCTAAAGCTCAGTCTGTTCCAGCCTCTTTTATTGTACCACACAACTCAAGATGATAGCTTAGGAAGCTTACAGGCAGGGATATCATGGGAAAAGGAGGATTGGTGGGATAATAGTCTGGAGAGCTTTGAAAGGTAAGGCAACCCACTGCGGGGATCTGAGGGAGGGACATCACTTGAGTGATGAGAGAAGTGAATGATTTTGGCAGCAGAGCTCTGGATAGACATGAGTGGGCTGAAGAGTGATAAGGGAAGACTGTCAGGCTATCAGAGAGAAGAAGATTGCAGGAGTCACAGAGATTGATTTTTGCAATTTGGTACAGGGAGGAGCAACGCTGCTTAGAGACAGACTGAATACAGGGAGCAAAGGAGAAGGCAGGATCCAATACAAAGCCAAAGCTTGCTTCTTCTTTTTTTAATCATTAGTTTTGCCTCTAGGAAACAACATTGCTCGCCAAGTTTTTAAAAAAATATTTTTTGTTAGGTGGTCCCCAAGATCAGGAAAAAGTAATCAAGTAATCCAGAGATTTGACCACGCTTCAGTTGCTGGAGAACTAGAGGCATCACTCTAGAAAACTGAAGAAGAGATGTGCTTTTTTGCAAAGGTTTTGTAAACTTTTGGACAACTGTTTTCTCGGCAATTTAGTAGTCACTTCAGTACACAACATGAAATTAACACCAGTTAAGTAGCGGGGGAATAGACAGTAATCTGTCATCAGAGAAATGGTCTCCTGAGTGTTCTCTGATCGGACAAAAGCAGAGAAAAATAATCTCCAGGCATACTGGTTTGAATGTGAAATGGAATAATTAACCGCTGCAGCGCACAGGAAAGTGATAATTTGCAATACTTTCACTGCTCTTTCTCTGTGGATAATTTATCTGGAAAAACTTCCTTTCTTGGATGTTGATTTATTTTCTATTTAATTATTTTCCTTTCGTCTTTGTTTTTTTCATGTTTTTTTCCTAGGAGGAAATTAGAGAGGGAACCAAAATATTTTTCCTGATTTGTGCTGAAAAGCATGTGTTCGTTGGTGTCTACAATTGGTTCGCAATAGGGTCAAGCTGTTGGGCGCCATCACGGTAAGCTTGCCACGTAACCACTGTGCAAAGACGTGATCATGTGACAAGGCCAGATTGTTTTCTGTTTCCCATAGGAGAAAATCTGGAATGCGGATTTTCATAACTGCTAGCCTGGCATAGTGATTACAGTGTTGGACTAGAATCTGGGAAAGCCAGGTTCAAATCCCTATTCAGTTCTTTTGGTTACCCTGGGCCAGTCAGCGGTCTACTTCATAGGGTTGTTGTGCATATAAAATACAGGACAGGGAAATGTAAGCTGCATTTGGTCCCCACTGGAGAGAGAAGCATGGTATGAAAATATCACGGTCTGAACATGTCACAGTGCAGTCCTAAGTAGAGATACACTATTGTAAGCTCATTTACATCAGCAAATTGAGTCAGGTGCAACTTTGCTTAGGTAACATTGTCAGACGCTTATGATTGTATGTGGTGCCGAAGAAGCACATTTCTACCACTACTGGGAACTCAACATCTGCACTCTCTTCCAATAGGTAGTAGAAACTGAAGCGGGGAAACCTTCAGCCTCTTTATCATCAAGCTACAGTGAAAACTCATCCGTAGCTCTGGCACAGCTATTCTTAAAAAAGAGCAGTTTCTGTCAAGAGCTCTCACAGCCCCACCTACCTCACAGGGTGCCTGTTGTGGGGAGGGGAAGGGAAAGGAGTTTGTAAGCCGCTCTGAGACACCTTTGGGTAGTGAAGGGCGGGGTATAAATCCAACCTCTTCTCTTCTTCTTCTTCATACAATGTTCTTCCTGATCATCCCCTGTGTAGAGCTTGACCTAGACAACTGGCGAAGAATTTAAATGATGAATCCCTTTCCCTGAAACTAGAAGAGAGTTTATGATTTGTTTTTTTCTCTTCTTGGGAACCAAAGATTACATCTCTACTGTCTCCAATTAACTGATACATTTACATCAACTATTGCAACAAAACTATCATAATCAGTGTTTTTAATATATTTGCTATTAATTGATACTGTTAATATTTGCTGAAGGGCTTGAACAAAATGGGAGTTTTCCTTGAAGCCCATCATGTGTCTATTGTGCATGTATATGTATTTCTGGCCTCCTGGTGGACCTCCCGATGCCACCTGGTTTTTGGCCACTGTGTGACACAGAGTGTTGAGCTCAATGGACCATTGGCCTGGTCCAACATGGCTTCTCTTATGTTCTCATGCGATCCATATGTTGAAATTTGTTGTTTTGAATAAATTGATTGTGTTACAATAGATGGTGCGATTGTGATTGTCAACTAGAGTTAGCTCTACACATTTCCTTTTCTTTTGGATCCCAGCTTTCTTCCCTTTTTTCGTATTTCTGAAAAGTTAACTATTTGGCATTTGCTGTTTCTAGCACACAACAGCTTCCCTCATTGCAGAAAGTGTCAAAAGCAAAAGCATGAGAGTGCCTTGCTTCTCTGAGCTTTGCATTGCTGGGGTAACAAATGTGAATGGGAGAGAGGAAGCTGACGGGTCAGTCTGTAATCATAATTCTTTGGAGGAGACATCTGAGGTTCCTAACTGGTGCTGGTGGCACTTGGAAAAGTCCTGCAGAGGTGATCCTCCTCCTAACCTTGTATGAGGAGAGGAATGTCTCATCTTTGAGAGGGTTTTGCCAAATGCTGCACCAGGGGTTGACCAGCCTCGTATGGAGGTAATCCATAAAAGAATCCCTACCTGTCCCCACGTCGTCCTGTAGAAGCAAGAGCTCCTCTGTTCTGCATTTCCTTGGAGCAGCAGAAGTGCGAGTCACGGACACATCTGTCTTCTGTCGCTTCATGTACCAGGCCAAGCTACCCTCAGGTGAATTCACCGAAACAAAATGATAGATGGTTTGTTCCTAAGCTGCACTGGCGAAATGCTTATTGATATCATAAGCATTTCTTGCTCCAGTAGAATCAGAGGCTGGAAAGGTTACCATCATCCTACGGGCATCTTCATATGTACGACTTCTGCTTATTTGGTGCATTTCTCTCTTTGATTCTTTGCAACATTAAAATGAATATGCAGAAACGCAATATCAGCCAAGGGAGGAGAAGGAAATATGTTTTTTTTTTTTTTTAAACTTACTACAATAGCCTTAGGACAGCAGGGGGTACTTCCAGCTGGGCTCTCCTAAGGAACAAACGGCTAAAGGGGTTGTTTAAAATTCAGATGTTAAGCTCTCCTTTCACGTCCACAGTTTGGTTAAGAGGCTGACTTGGACTAGCACATGTAATCATTTAGGATGGGCTCAATCCACTTCTGGCTCCTGTTCATCTTTCAAGGGTGTACAAGGGTTATTACGCTGGCCTGCTGATCAGAGATTACAAAAATGTTGTAGCTAGATCAGAGACCAGTAGCAGCTCAGGAACCAACAAGATTTCCAGTCAAAGCTCCCCTTCGTGAAATATTGTAGGACACTATCAACTGGTGTTGCAATCCTAAAAATTTATGCTGATGGTGATTTTTTTGGGAGGCCTCTTAAATGCATACAATTCTAAGAAGGCCCCTGTAGGATCAGACCAAAGATCTATCTAGTCTAATATTTGGTTTCTCATCGTGGCAAACCCAGATGCTTCTGGGGAACACAAGAGCTGGGCGGAAGGGCAGCAGCCCTCCCCTGCTTTTTGACGTCGAACCATGAGAAAGTAAGAGAGAACTTCTGCAGGCCGCGGCTGTACCATCACCCTGACCCCTCTTCTTGTGCCAGTTCTAGATTAAATAGCCAGCTACACATTGCTGCCCCCCCCCAAGTAATGGGTCTTCTCTAAGGTTGCCAGCTCTGGGTTCCTGGAGATTTGGGGAAGTTGAGCTTGGGGAGGTGAGGGAGCTCAGTGGGAGATCATGCCACAGAGTCCACCCGCCAAAGCGGCCATTTTTTCCAGTGGAACCAATTTGTTTTGTCTTGAGTTATAACGCTGGGAGATCTCCATTCCCACCCCCTCTCTGAAGCTGGCAACCCTCGTCTGCAGTCTCATCCATCCAACAATCAGTAGAACTCCTTCATATATGAACGAATTCTGGATCATTGTTTTTCTTACAATCAGCTCGGTGTTAATCAGACTCATTTCTAAGGACAGTGAAAACTAACTTTATGTCCAAGTTTCGTTTGGCCAGAAGGAGAACGGAAAGAAGTCGGTGGAACTAACTGATGCTCTTCTCTCCTCACGTGACGCGTCCTCCTTATGTCACACGGCTCTCTCTGTACCTCACACAGCCGGTAGCTCCCCCCCCCCTCGATCCAGATCCTCGTACTCTCTAACACATGCATTACCTCAGTGAATATCTCTCTCTCTCTAGTCAGTTTGGTGTAGTGGTTAAGTGTGCGGACTCTAATCTGGGAGAACCGGGGTTGATTCCCCACTCCTCCACTTGCACCTGCTGATGTGACCGTGGGTCAGTCACAAGCTCTGGGACAGCTGTCCTTGAAAAAGAGCAGTTTGTGTCAGAGCTCTCTCAGCCCCACCCACCTCACAGGGTGTCTGTTGTGGGGAGGGGAAGGGAAAGGAGTTTGTAAGCCGCTCTGGGACTCCAAGTGAAGGGCGGGGTATAAATCCAATCTCCTCCCCCCCCCTCCTCCTCCTCCTCCTCCTCCTCTTCTTCTTCTCTCTCTCTCTCTCTCTCTCTCTCTCTCTCTCTAAGACATCTTAGCAAACTCCCCCGGGGAACACACCGGAACAGAGTTCTGGAACCTCTTCAACAACATTCTTTTAAAAGCGTTTAAAAGTTCATGAGATTTTAGTATGCAGATTGAAAACTTCATTTCCTTCTCGAGAGTTCCGGCACCACTCCCCCACCCCCACCCCCCAAAAAAAGCCCTGGGGGGAAGATATGTTAACATACGGAATATTAAACGTGGCTAGTTCTAAGCACGCACAAATTACGTGGGTGAATATTTGCCCAGGGTGGTAATAAGGTGACAGCAAAAGCTTCCACTATTTAGTTTCTGTGGGTCAAACTTTGGTCTGAAGTGCAGGGAGGGAGGGCCAGAGGGAAAGGGGTTAGCCAGCTAGGATACTGGTTTTATCGTTGCTGCTTTCCCACCTAGGATGTAAATCTACAGGCTGTGCTGAGAACGGACTGGGGAGAAAGTGTGAAGGAAGACGAGAGGGGCCCCCCCTTCACTCACACACAGATCAGAAACTCACATCTGTGTTTCTGATTCCATGAAAGATAAATATAAGTAAACTGCCCAAACTTGTGCACGTTCCCACTGTTGCTAATTTGGATATCCTCGCTGTCCAAGTCTCATTTCAAACATTGCCGCAGCTGACAAAACATATCACACGTTCCAGGGCTTGACTGAAAGGGAGAAATCTTGACAGAATTGTCTTTAGGAATCTTCCTGGAGGCTTAATTGGATGCCGGGAGGAAGAGGCCCTTGGGCACTGCCGTGTTTATTGCCGGCTCCTCTGCGACTCAGGCTGTTGTTGCCACATTACCTAGCCTGACTGCTGTGTAGCAAAGCTTACGGCCACTTGTCGGGCAGCCCTGAGTCAGGCAGAGCTGACAAATTGACTTTAATACTCAGCTCAGCATAATGATGATGTGGCCGACAGACTCCAGGCAGGGAGAAGAAAAGGAGGCTGTGTAGTCGCCCTGAAAATAAATTGGATGATCAAACCAAATCCTTTCCCCCCCACCCTACTGTAGTGTGGCGGTCGAGGAATTGGCTGAATGAAAGGTGCTGCTCCCTGGACTTTGTCCATCTGTCCTGCTAAGAACTATAGATTGTTCCAAGTTGCTGAATGAACCTGGGGAGGAATAAAACAAGGAGACCTGAAATGAAAGAAAGAACAGCCGTTCCAAAGTATCAGAGAAAGCAGAAGGCATGCTTGAATACAGGGCAGTTAATCCAGACTTCAGAGAAGGAGGAACAACTTTAAAAAGTGAAAACAAGGCAAAGACATTCAACTTTGCTGCAATTTATTTCGTTCAGGGGTGGGCAGTATAAGGCAGGCAAGCCCAAACCCACCTCCCAAAGCCGGCTTGGTTCCCACGTGCAGGAGAATGAGGTAGACCGGTGCTGACGAGAATGCCAAAGTGGCAAAATGGCCTGCAGCTCTTCAGACGGTGAGTGGTGTGGATCCCAGGCCTTTGAATATTTTTTTACATTAAACAGTCATAAGGACAGAAGAGAAGAGGAAGAAGAGATTGGATTTATACCCCGCCCTTCACTACCCAAAGGTGTCTCAGAGCGGCTTACAAACTCCCTTCCCTTCCCCTCCCCACAACAGACACCCTGTGAGGTAGGTGGGGCTGAGAGAACTCTTGACAGGAACTGCTCTTTTTCAAGAAAAGCCATTATCAGAACTATGGCTTGCCCAAGGTCATCCAGCCAGGTGCAAGTGGAGGAGTGGGGAATCAAACCCGGTTCTCCCAGATTAGAGTCCGCACACTTAACCACTACACCAAACTGACAGAAGAAAAGCCCTGCTGGATCAGACCAGAGGGCCATCTAGTCCGGCAATTCGGGCTGCCAGCCTCCAAGTGGGACCTGGAGATCTCCCAGAATCACAGCTGATCTCCAGTCTACATGAATTGCTTGTTTATGAATTATTTATTTATATAAAACATTTATTCCACTTCCCCTGGAGAAAAGGGCCGCTTTGGGAGGTGGGCGGAATGGCACTCTGCCCTACCAAGGTCCCTCCCCTCCCTAAACCTCACCCCCCCCGGGCTCCACCTTCAAATCTCCAGGTATTTCTGAACCCAAGTTGGCAGCCCTGTCCAGCATCCTGTCTCAAACAGCAGCCAGCCAGTTCCTCCTGAGGTCCAACAACAGGGCACAGAGGCCAAGGCCTTCCCCAGTGTTGATGTTTGGCTCTGGTCTTCAGAGGTTGCGACTGCCTTTGAATGGGGAGATTCCCTTTAGTCAGTATGGCTCTTAGTCCTTCCCAAACACATCAGGGAGAGAGATACAGTGCCCTCCCCTTTGTTTGTTGTGGGGGCTTCCAATTTTCAGGGAGTTTTCGAAGGAGTCTCAGAGTGGCTTACAATCTCCTTTCCATTGCCATGCAGCCACTTCAGATGGCATTATGAAAGACTCTTAAATAGGACTGCCTTGGTGAAATGTGAAGAGAGTGTGTCAGGGCACTGGACTGTACCGTAGCCCATAAGCAGTGCCTGTATCCTGGACTAAAGGGATGTGCTTTGGCCAAAATGGGAGCCTTGTGCCTCTAAGCAGCACGCCAAACCAGACAAGGACTCCTGGACTACAAGAAGCCTCCTGCTCCTGCATTTCCATGCCAGCACCAGAGTGCAGACCGGCAGCCCTGACCTCCATATACACAGAAACAGCAGCAGATCACAGAGGGAAGCCATAACTCTGTGAAAAGGACAGGATGTTCTTGCATAGACTCCTCCTTCTCCATCACGCAGGCATCCCCCCCCCACCCTCAGGTATTAACATCACCAAAAGAAGTGCACATTCCTCTCCAGCCTAAAACAAAAGGATGTGCCCGATGATGACAATAGCGAGCCATCAGGTCTTCCAGCCGCCCATCAAGATAACGCAGCCGTCAAGCAACTGGTCATTAACCCAAAGTTCCAGTCCTGCAACCTGACTGGTTCTCTTTCTTTCCTCCTTTGTCTATCCCATTCTCCTAAGAGGTGTCACTCCTAGCCAAGCCATCACCTGCAATTGCCCAACCATTAATCCTTTTTCTGCCCCATTTGTTTTTGGTTAATATCTCCTGGGGACCATGTGACCACAGGTATCTGCCTCAGGTCACATTTTAGGCATAAAAAGAGAGCATCGTGCCCTTGTTCTCTCTCTTGCTTCTATCTCCCCAAACCCCATCCTACCTTGCTGGTTCCATTCCTAGCGCTGTTTGGAACGTCC